AGGGAGCAGGTCCTCTTCTGGCGGAGTCCGCCATGTTTCTACAGTAGCCCAGAACGGACATTGAGTGGCATCTAGCGGTGTAGTTACAGATCACTCACTTCACTTTTACCTCCATGCCCAAAGGGGAAATTACAGCGGCCCCAAAACACACAATAAATACACACACCCCTAACTCGAGCCAGTACAGGACCCGCAACCATTCTTATTGTCTTACTATGATCATGCAGAGTATTGGGCCTCCTTACTCTGCTGCCCGCTCTCATCTGTGTAATTTAGAGGTAATATTTGACATTTGATACCCAGCTGACCAGAACTTGTTTTTGCCACCGAAGCAATATTAGGAAACTGAGATCCGTAGTTTCACCTGTTGAACTGATGCTTATACGTCTTTATTTCCTCCCACAGCACTGTGACGCACTGTGCGTTCAGAACACCGCAGTCAGATTACTCACTAGAACTAATAGATGGTCCCACATTACCCCTTTCTGAGGTTCTTGCATCACAAGTTTAATTTTTACTTTAAAAAAACACTTTAAATTAAATACTAAAATCATGATGATGTGAACTTTTGGGGTCTGCAGCAAACAAACATGTTTTTTTTTTAAATCTGGAGTTCAGTTTAGTGTTAGTGTAGTCCTGTGGGTCTCTGCAGGACTTCATTATAACGCTGATACCTAGATCACTGAGCCATAATGCCATAATTGTGTGTCCCTCGTTTAAAGCAGTGTAGGACAACACAGATTATCTCCAGGACTTTGGGTCATTTTATGACTGGAAAACTAGTCTTTAACTGTCCAGGACGCACAGGAACCCTGAACAAATAAAACATGTAACACACTGTATAAAAATATATCAGGACAACTCAGAGTGCCTCCAGGTCTGTGCTTTTCCAGTGTTCCTGCAGTTATTTCTGGATATAATGTGGACTATAGAGCCAACCCGGCAGTTGGAGCCAGGGGTTAACCCTTTGATTTCTGCCACCCGGTCCCGTTCACACAGCCCAGCTCATGGATTCAGTGTACAGACAGAACCGGCACCGTGCTGCTGGGTCCCGGTCTGAGGGGTCCCGGTCTGGGTTTACACCTTAAAGCGTCTCAGTGTGCTCGGACTGAACACAGACAGCTGGAATCGCTTTTACTGTGACAGTTGCTGCTGCTTCCGGTACAGTGTGTCTACCGTGCGTCGGACCGCTGGTCGCCGTTAACGGGCAGAAATAACGCTCAGTAACGGTCGGTAATGGTCGGTAACGACAGTGTGGACACACCGCGGACAGCAGCGGCTGTTGGTCAGCAGATAGAGAGCAGAGGAGAAGAGGAAGACTCACGGAGAGCTGTGGAGCTGCTGTTATCTGCCGCTGGCTGCCATGTCCTCACCGGTACGGTAATGTAGAGCCGCAGCGAACACCGTAACACTGCGACTGCAGGCGCAGCGGGAAACTGTGCGGCTCCTGGGCAGCAGGTGGCACTACAGGGCCCTGCAGGTGAGGGGGTCCCTGCTTTATTCTACATATACGGGTTACAGTGAACAGTAGTGATGGGAATTCCGGCT